TATAACCTTTGAGATACTCGAAATTATTAATTATTAATAAATTTAATTAATAATCAGATCATTTAAAAATTGTGATATTGATGTAATTAGTTAGAAACCTTATTATTGTGTATTACATTGGTAGGGTATATTTTTGATTGTGTGTACCTATATTCATTTATCACCAGTCTTTTGCGTTTTGTGTTAATATATATATAATTTTTGTACATAAATAAAAAATTTTTATATTTATCTATTATAAGGCAAATTTTGTGTGTATGGTACGAAATCATATTGGCTAAAAGAATTCAAGGTATAATAATAAGTGGTGATCAAATTATCAAGGTGTCCAAATTATTGGTTCACTAAATATTTGCCGTATTTTAACGGCTGGAGGCACTGTAATATTTCATCTAAGGGAAAGGGACACGCCCTTTATAAGTAAAATATATCCTTACATAAACCACCACAGCTCCTCGGTGGAGAACAGCGATCTCGCCATGTCCAGATGTGGTCTGGAATTCCACAAAAGAACAATTCACAAAATTAAAAAAAATTACCACTAAACCACTAAACTCTCCTAACTACACTCCCATCCACTCACACTCCCCACTTCCACTTCCGGGTGTGTGCAAACGTCCTTCCGCAAACATCATGACGTATTTCCGGTATGACAGCTGCTCTAGCGCCTCCTCCAACAGCCGTCTTGGCGTTTATTTGTGCACCATAGCAATTTTACATGCGGCTCCATTGTGTATATGACATTCGCAAATATATGTTTGCAGTTCTATTGTAGATTTGGCATTGGTGAATGTATGCTTGCAGCTATACTGTGTATATGAGATTGGCGAATATATATTTGCCAGTAAAGGCCCAAAGTCAACATAAATTGGGGGCCCAATTTATTACTGTTAAGAGGATTGTAGAAAAAGAATAGCTAGCTGCACATTGAACACGACCTATTCATTGGTACAGAACATGGTCTTGTCGTGCAATAGGGGGCTTTTGGTTTGTTATTTTGGACATACTTGCACATGTGCGCTCTAACAAGGAAGATTTGGGCATATTATATAGCTAGCAAAAATAAGTGTTAGGGGTGCTAGTACATTTCAGATACTTATATAGTGCTGTCAATTTACGCAGCGCTTTACATATAGATGTGGTAAATTCACATCAGTCCCTAACCCTCAAGGGGCATACTAAGAGCCCTAACTTACATTCATACATATACTAGGGCCAATTTTGACAGGATCCAATTAACCTACCAGCATGTCTTTAGAGTGTGGGAGGAAACCAGAGTACCCGGAGGAAACACAGGCACAGGGAGAACATGCAAACTCCAGGCAGGAGGTGCCATGGCTGGGATTTGAACCAACGACCCTAATACTGCCAGGTGGAAGTGCTAACCATTTAGCCACTGTGCAACATTCAACTAGAACATGAAATAATCCCCCCAAAAAATACATAGTACAAATGTTTATTGATCAAATACACATTCCACATTTATTTGGACAGCAACAAAAAGCTACATTCAATATCTTGGTGTGAAAAAAAAAAAAAAAAACAGGATTGATGTTGCTAAAATAGAACGTCCTGCTCATAAGAGCTTACAATCTAAAAGATTATACTTATAATGAACTGTGCTTTCACAGGTTACAGCAGGAAACAAATGGTTAATATCACTTGGGCTTATTCACAAAAAAGCTGCAGATCGAAATATCAATATAAAAATACATACGTGCCAAAATAAAAACACCTCCCACCTCCCCAAATCCCCCACACATACATTTCTCACCATGTTTGTCTGAAAACTGCATTTCATTCTAAATAAAGCAAACTTGGAAGAGCAGAGCAATGGACATGTGTTAGGATTACAATGCAAAGATAATAAACACAATCATTGTACAATAACACACAAACACACCTTAGAAGGAAGAACATGCAAAACATTTACAGCCCACATCAAAACACAGCGTGAGTGTGGCCTGGGGCAATTCACACATTCACCACAATATCTCTTCCTCCCCAAACCACCACAGACAAGGACATGCAGAAATAATGTGCCTGTACAAGGCAAAAATCAGCCACAACTGCATCTCTTATATATAAGGTAGGCCACACCCACCACTGTCATTCATTTGGTCAGAGAAAGTGTTTGCACCTGATTAATTCTCTTCCCACCTGCGTTAACCCTTGGTATACAGGCCCCACAAATCAGAGTCAGAAAGAAAGCCACAGTGACGTGTACCTGTGCAGCATACAACAGAACATTGAACAGGGATGTGAAAGGGAACCCTATTGGCAATATTTCTTGGCCCTATGGGCACAATTCACTCCAGATTATCGCATGAGTTAAGGCAGTCACATGACCACATCTCGCATGCAATACTGAAAATGTCAATTCACTTTTGCTAGTATGCGGCATTTCCCATAAATCGGAAAAAAAACACTCAGGAAATCAAACATAAAAAGGCCTTACACTGCGGTCACATCAAAGCCGATTTAGAAATTGTGCGACGTACAGTGAAGATGCTGATTTCCTTACGATTTGCAAGACATCTGACACAGATATCTATGCAAATCGTCACAAAAGTAGTACATGTACTACTTTAGAAATCAGTGTCGGAAACGCACCCATGTGACTGCTCTAATAGCAGACAATAGGGTGCGACTTGGCATACGATTTGCAAGTCGCATGCCATGCAAATCGCATGCCAAGTCGCATCCAGGGTGCACGATTTCAGGTGCAATTTGGGAATTGAAATTGAAATTGTACCTAATATCCGATCTAATGAATGTGGATGTGAGTGTCTTAACGTAAGCGATTTGCTGCAGCACAATTTCAAAAGTAGTTCTCGTCTAACTTTTTCAGCATTTTGTAGTGATTTCACATATAGACTACAATAGAAATCGCAATGCAAAACACAATTGAAAACGCAATAACTCATTGGTAAATCTACAGAAAACACGGTGAAATTGCCAACAAAAAGCACAATTTTAAATCACATCTAGTGTGAACCAAGCAGGCAATTCAACAAAGGAAATAAATCTTTGAAGGCATGCGGTATCTGCATGCTCAGATAAGGGTCTGTTATGGATTTGGGGGGGGGGGGGGGGGATGCCATGCCATTATTTTTTTTTTTTTTTAATCCATTTCTTTCGCTCACTCTTCTCATGGTTTGACAAACTTTCCCAAAAGGAGGTGGAGTGCAAACCAGCATTATCCAATCAATCATTAGTCCAGGCCCTTATCTCATCCCATCATTTGACATTCACATAAGGTGCTTACTTTAAAGGTGTTTGAACAGACAAGGCCTCATTCTAATTCACATTTCTAGGGATCATTTAAACAGAAAGCAAAGATGCTGCCACCAGCACATGTATGTTAGGGTAGTCACACAGAGATCATCATGCAAATTCATTGCTGTGGTTGGGATTCAAACCAACAACCCTAGCATTGTGAGACAGTAGTGCTAACCACTAATCCACGGAGCTGTTGAACACTAATCCTGCCTGTATTTCTGTGGTGTGAATCAATCCTAGGTCCCTGGGCAAGGTCAGTGTAACTAGCCAGATATCTCAAATGTGACACAAATGTTGTGCTATGTTGCCAATTCAGATGTATGTTGGTTCTATGTATCCCAATACAAAGGATTGCAATACTAATACAGGCGTACCTCGGTTTACCAACGCCTCGGTTAACGTAATTTTTTGGTTTACGAATGAAAATCCATTGAAAATAATGCCTCGGTTTACACAATTGTTAATAATTTTTTTTCGCAATACAAAGTGTATGTCGGCGCTGATTTTTTCAAATGCAAATGCCAGCCTTTTTTTTTTTTTTCACTATAGTTCACAAGCTTAGAAGTCACTTTCCCCGAAGTTACAGAAAACTTTGTATCTTTTAATAAAACTCAAAGTAAACATTGTTTCCTTTAGGGATATAAATTCCAAGAAAACTTTCTCTTTTAGCTGGGGGAAGTGACAGGTGAATTTCTGAGCTATAGTGAAGAAAAAAAAAGGGAAAATTACATTTAAAAACCAGCACCATAATAAATAAAAAACGGCATGGGGTCCCCCCTCCCATCCACACCAAGCCCTTCGGGTCTGGTATGGATATTAAGGGGTAAATCCACGCTGAAATTAAATAAAAAACAGCTTGGGGATCCCCCCAAAATCCATACCAGACCCTTATCCGAGCATGCAGCCCGGCAGGTCAGGAAAGGGGGGGGGCCCGGCAGAGCGGGGCGCCCCCCCCCTCCTGAACCATACCAGGCCACATGCCCTCAACATGGGGGGGTGCTTTGGGCAGGGGGGGCTCCCCCCCAAAGCACCTTGTCCCCATGTTAATGGGGACAAGGGCCTCTTCCGTTAGTGGGATAATTGGTCGGCCATTTTTTTTGGGATTTTGGCATATTTTGTTTATCAGTAAAGTTGGAAATTTTTTTTTCCAAATTTACTGATAAAAAAAATGTGCCAAAATCCCGAAAAACGGCCGACCAATTAACCCACTAACGGCCCGAAAATCGTTCGATTTTTTTTTTTTTTTCGGCAGAAAAAAAAAATCGGTCGATTTTAGACCCATCTATGGCCTGCTTTAGATGGGTCTAAAATCGGCCGAAAAAAAAATCATCGGCTGATTTTTCGGGCCGTTAGTGGGTTAATTGGTCAGCCATTTTTTGGGATTTTGCCACTTTTTTTAATGGGTAAATTTGGATAAAAATTGGCCGATTTTGCAGATCGGCCGATTTTAGCGGCAATGATCGGCAAATTGGCTGATCTTTTATAGAGATAAAAAATCTGCGCATGAGCCATGACCTGCAAGAAAAAAGAAAATGAAAAAGAAAATAAAAAAAAAAAAAAAAAAAAAAAAAAAAAATGCAGGCCATAGATGGGGCGAAAAAACTGACCGTTTTTTTAAAAAAAAAAAAAAAAAAAAAATCGGTTGTTCAATGGGCCGACGTTACCACCAACGGTAAAAAAAATTGTCCGATTTTCGCCCCGTCTACGGCCGGCAAATATAATAGCGAAGTAATTACTTCTGTCCCTGCAGAGAGCTGCGCTATTATATTTGACATTAAAAAGTATAAAGGTTGCAACATTGTATCTATATGTATCCGAATAAAAAATCTATATCTGAAATGGATACAAATAGATACAATGTTGCAGTCTCTATACTTTTTAATGTCAAATATAATAGCGGAGCTCTCTGCAGGGACAGAAGGAATGTTTCAGCTGTCATCGGGGTTTTCCCACTGACAGCTGAATTTTAAATTATTTCCGTGTGAATTAAATAAATAATAACAAAAACTGCGTGGGGTCCCCCCTCCCATCCATACCAAGCCCTTCGGGTCTGGTATGGATGTTAAGGGGTAACTCCACGCGAAAATTAAAAAAAAAAAAAAAAAAGCGTGGAGTACCCCCCAATATCCATACCAGACCCTTATCCGAGCATGCAGCCCGGCAGGTCAGGAAAGGGGGGGGGACGAGCGAGCGCCCCCCCCCCCCTGAACCATACCAGGCCACATGCCCTCAACATGGGGGGGGGGGGTTCTTTGGGGCAGGGGGGCTCCCCCCCAAAGCACCTTGTCCCCATGTTGATGTGGACAAGGGCCTCTTCCCCACAACCCTGGCCAGTGGTTGTGGGGGTCTGCGGGCGGGGGGGCTTATCAGAATCTGGAAGATCCCCCCCCCAGATCCCGCCCCCCCCCCTACATGAATGAGTCTGCAGTACATGGTCCCGCGACTCATTCACAAAAAAAAAAAAAGTGTGGTGTAAAAAAAAAACACAGTACAGGGTCTTTGACAAGTCCTTTATTAAAACAATGTCCCCCGAAGTAGATCCAACGTCAATCACGGGGGCGGCGACCCGAAAAAAAAAAAAAAAAAAAAAAGTTCCGGTCCCGTCAGGCTTCCAGCCTTGTGAAAAAAAGGCTAGCTGACAGTTCTTAAAAAGGTTAGGGGTGGGGGGCCAGTCGGGGACATCATCCGAGAAACCCCGCCCCATGTAACATCATTGATGACACATGAGGCGGGTTTCTCGGATGAGGTTAGCTGGCTGGCCCCAGCCCTTACCTATTTAAGAACTGTCACCCTGTCAGGAATGGACTTGCCAATAACGGTGGGACTCACCTGCCTTGTGGGCTGCAGTACCAGGGCTCGCCAAGCGGGTGCTCTCAGCAATCAGAGACTCACCCCCCCCGCAGTCAGCTAAAACACCTGAAGCTTCGATTGCAGGGGTTGTATTTAAGGAATGGCCAGACTCACAGTCAGGGCCTTGGTGTGTGTTTTTTCCATGGGCCCCTGTATCTTGTAACCTGCATTCCTGTTCCTGTTTCTGCCTGACTTGTTGCCGGGACCCTGCCTCATCCTGACCTCTGCTGACTTCTCCTGTTTGATCCCTGGCTTGTGACCCTGACCATTCTGACTGATAATCTCTCCGCCTGCTCCTCCTGTACCTACCTGCCCGATAGTTATCGACCCGGCCTGCTTGACTACGTTGTGCTCTATATGTGTAAAGGTACCTGTGTATCTATATCAGTTTAGGTTTGGGTTTGTTTCACCTTGTTGTATGTATTTGTGTTAGCTTTGGGTTTGGTGCACTTTCGCACTGGCTGTTTATATTTGTATTGTTAGTCTCAATAAATTATATCATTTACTATATCTGAAGCCTACGTTTCCCTGTGTCAGTCAGTGTCACACTTCTGGTCACACCCGCATCCCTGACACACTTCATTCATTCAGCTAGTTACAGTTCTTATATATAGGTAAGGGGCGGGGCCAGCCGGGAATAGCAAGCAATGTGACATGGGGCGGGGTCACTCGGATTATGTCCCCGGCTGGCCCCGCCCCATACCTATATAAGAACTGTCAGACTGTCTCCTGCATTCAGCCAGTTAGCCTCAGTGGAGAGACAGGGTGACAGTTCTTAAATAGGTAAGGGGCGGGGATGATGTCCCCGGCTGGCCCTGCCCCTAACCTATTTAAGAACTGTCAGCTATCCTTTTTTTCAGACGGCTGGAAGCCTCCGACGGGAGCGGAACATTTTTTCGGGTCACCGCCGCCGCCCTGATTGACGTTGGATCTACTTCGGGGGACATTGTTTTAATAAAGGACTTGTACAGTCCCTGTACTGTGTTTTTTTACACCACACTTTGTTTTTTTGTGAATGAGTCACGGGACCATGTACCGCAGACTCATTCATGTAGGGGGGGGGGGGGATCTGGGGGCCCCCTTGTTAAAGGGGGCTTCCAGATTCTGATAAGCCCCCCGCCTGCAGACCCCCACAACCACCGGCCAGGGTTGTGGGGAAGAGGCCCTTGTCCCCATCGACATGGGGACAAGGTGCTTTGGGGGGGGAGCCCCCCTGCCCCAAAGCACCCCCCCATGTTGAGGGCATGTGGCCTAGTATGGCTCAGGAGGGGGGGGGGGCTCACTCGCTCATCCCCCCCCCTTTCCTGACCTGCCGGGCTGCATGCTCGGATAAGGGTCTGGTATGGATATTGAGAGGGACCCACGCTGTTTTTTTTTTTTAATTTCAGCGTAGAGTTCCCCCTTCATATCCATACCAGACCTGAAGGGCTTGGTATGGATGAGAAGGGGGACCCACGCACGCTGTTTTTTTTTTTTTTTTTTATTGCAGACCTTTATTTTTACATTCAGCTGTCAAAATAAATATTATTTAGACCTTCGAAATAAGTAAAATCATTACAGAAATAAAATATAAAGGATAAGAAACAAAAATAGAATCACTAGAACTAAGGAAATCAAATTAGAATACATAAAGATATGCTTAGTGCTGTTGTTAAACACAGGTAGACGCGACCGAGTGCCGGCTGTCAGAGGACTCCACACTGAGATTTACTATTGAGCAGTGGCTAAAAAGCAAGCGCCCACAGAGGATGTCTAAAATGTGTTCTGCACATGCTCAGTTATATCGGTCAAAGACACTGCACGGGCGTCTAGTTTTTTACTGTGTTGATTTGCTTTAAAAAAACTATTTTTAACACATTCTTAATTTTTTTTTTGAAATGGCAGATATTGTTTAAAGTGAAGTCCTGATATTTGGCAAAGCAAATTTCAAAGTGAACATGTCTCTGCAGTGATTTTTCATGGTGTTAGACATGCCTCTTAGCAAGTCTGCTTTGTGAGTCTGATTCCGGGTGTGTGTCTCGTTAGTAAATTCGATTGGGCGTCTACTTATGGACGCTGCTCAATAGTAAATCTCGTTGCAAACCTCCATCAAAATAGAGTATTTAGAGGTAATAGCTCAGAAACAATTGATTCGGTACCGGCTGGAACCTTGTTGCAAAAGCTTGATTAGCAATTAGTGATTCCTTATTTAATTTTTTTTATACATAACCTGCAAAGTAAATAACATTATGTAAAAAAAGGACACCTGATTTATAGCTTTAACTGGGATGAGAACGAAAACATTAGAGATGTAGTTAAGCATATATCAATACCGTTGAAATCCCGTTTTATACTTGCTGGATTACACACATACCAAAAGATACAAACGCCCCAAATAAAAAAATGCTAAAAATAGACATATTTTCCATCGTCCGGATCGCTCTTCAGAGAATATTGGATTTTGCCCAAGTAATTAATTTGAATGGGCTGCAGTCAGTGCCAAAAGAGATAGAAATTCTTAAAGGGCATATCATAAGAAAAGCATATCAGTTTTTATATCCCAAGCTGCTGCCAGTTATAATAATACATATGCATGTCTTTAGGATTTTGGTGTACAAAAAAAGTATAAGTGATATTATCAGAGTTTTTGTTTTTTTCAGTTAACAATCAGATGAGTCTAGTTAGATCAGAGGATTTTGAGTCTTTTGTGGGTTTTTAAAAGCAGGACTTGAAAAAAATTTACATAAAAACGGCAATACCCAACGATGGTTGGGAAGAGAGGAAGGGAGGAAGGAAGAAAGGAAAAGAGAAAGGAAGGGAGGAAGGAAGAAAAAAAGAGAGGAAGAAAGGAAGGGAGGTAGGAAGAAAGGAAGGGAGAAAGGAAGGAAAGGAGGAAGGAAGAAAGGAAGGGAGGAAGGAAGAAAAGGAGGAAGAGAAGAAGGAAGGAAGAAAGGGAGGAAGGAAAAAAGGAAGAAAAGAAGAAAGGAACAGAGAAAGGAAGAAAGGAAGGGAGAAATGAAAAAAGCAAAGGAGGAAAGAAGAAGGGAAGGGAGAAAGGAAGAAAGGAGGAAGGGAGAAAGGAGGAAGGGAGGAAGGAAAGAAGAAAGGAGGAAGAGAGAGGAATAAAGGAAGGAAGGGAGGAAGGAAGGAAGAATAGAAGGAAGAAAGGAAGGGAGGAATGAAGAAAGGAAAGGAGGAAGGAAGGGAGGAAGGAATAAATGAGAGGAAGGGAGGAAGGAAGAAAGAAAGGAGGAAGGGAGGAAGGAAGAATGAAGGAAGAAAGGAAAAGAGGAAGGAAGAAAGGAAGGGAGGAAGAAAGAACGGAAGGGAGGAAGGAAAGAAAGGAAGGTAGAAAAGAAGGAAGAAAGGAAGGAAGGGAGGAAGGAAGAAAGGAAATAAAGAAGTGAAGAAGGGGGAAAAAGAAATAAGGAAAGTAGGAAGGAAGAAAGGAAGAAAGAAAGAAAGAAAGGAAGAAAGAAAAAGAAAAAGAAAGAAAGAAAGAAAGAAAGAAAGAAAAAAAGAAAAGAAGAGAAAGAAAAGAGTTTCCTGAGGAAGGAAGAAAGGAAAGGAGAAAGAAAAGAGGAAGGAAGAGAGAAAGGGAAGAAGGAAGAAAAGAAGGGAGGAAGGAAGAAAGGATGGGAGGATGGAACAAAGGAAGGGAGGAAAGAAGAAATGAAGAGAGGTAGAAAGAAAGGAAGTTATGAAGGAAGAAAAGAAGGGAGGAAGGAAGATAGGAAGAAAGGAAGCGAGGACAGAAGAAAGGAAGGGAGAAAGGAAAAGAGGAAGGGAAGAAGGAAGGGAGGAAGGAAGAAAGGAAGGGAGGAAGGAACGAATGAAGAATGGAAGGAAGAAAGGAAGGGAGAAATGAAGAAAGGGAGGAAGGAAGAAATTAATAGAGGAAGGGACGAAGGAAGAAAGAAAGGAAGGGAGTAAGGAAGAAAGGAAGGAAGTAAGGATGAATGGAATTGAGGAAGGAAGAAAGGAAGGGAGAAAGGAAGAAAGGAAAAAAGGAAGGGAAAAAAAAGACAGGAAAGGAGGATGGAAGAAAGTAAGGGAGAAAAGAAGAGAGAGAAGTAAGAAAGGAAGGAATGAAGTAAAAAAGGAAGGAAGAGAGAAAGAAAAAGAGTAAGGGAGGAAGGAAGAGGAAGGAAGGAAGGAAAGAAGGGGGAAAGGAAGAAAGATAGAATGGAAGGGAGGAAGGAAGAAAGGAAGGGAGGAAGGAATAAATGAGAGGAAGGGAGGAAGGAAGAAAGGAAGGGAGGAAGGAAGAAAGGAAGGGAGGGAGGAAGGGAGGAAGAAAGAACGGAAGGGGAGGAAGGAAGAAAGGAAGGTAGAAAAGAAGGAAGAAAGGAAGGGAGGAGAAGGAAGAAAGGAAATAAGGAAGTGAAGAAGGAAGA